TCTGTTTTTCCTTTAGTTCTTCACTTACGGTGTTCCTGGCCTGAATACCATATTTTAATTGAGATATACTGTGAGGTACTATTTTTACTATTGTTTTTTTCTCGTTCTGTCTTTGTCTTGGCATGCTATTTTGATTTTTCTGATCACCAGTGTACATGGAGCACTCGCCTTCTGCACTGTCTGGCTGCAGCGAGACGTATTTTCCCTTTTAGGAGCATTTATGTTCGTGTGAGCAGGAACAATGCTTCTGTGTGGGTGTGTTTCTTGGTTTGTCAACTCTGCCTTTTGGTTTGGTCTGCACTGTGAAGCAGTGCTCACAGTCCTTCCCCCAGAGTGGATCTGCTGTTCAAACTGCTGCTGGAAGGCAGCATTAGATCCAATCCGTGCCATCAGGTAAAGGATGCAGTAGGAAATTTGGCTGCTGCAGACAGCAGAGTGGCTGCAGGTGTTCATCCCCACACAGCAGTGGGAATGTGCTCTGCTTTGTTCTGCATTTGGGACCACCCTGGAACAGCTGTGAATTTGTGTAATCTCACTGTGTATACACGTCTGTGCACACATTCACTGCATTTATAGAGAGAGGTAGAGCTGACTATAAATATCCCTGTTAAATTAGAAAACTGATTRATTCAGTTTCTCTATTTTAATGGAGTTGGATAAAGACTCATCTGCCCTGTGTCTGCCCTGTGGCCTCTAGGAGATTTCACAGTAACTCCTGTGTCACTGTGTTTGTCTTTGCAGTATGTGTGTCATACTTCAGTTCAACCAATCCCTCTAAGGTGAAGGCATAAGGTTTTAGTATTATTAATGCCTCATTTCATCTAGTTAATGATCTTTTTAAGTATTTCATCTTCTTTGTGATTTACCTTCCRTGTCAGATAAAGATCTTATTTAAGCTAAGTATTATGAAATAATAGAAATCTTTATTCTATTTGAATGCAGTCAGGATAAATGAACCAGTAGAGAATCTGATGTTAAACAGGTGCAGCATCGCACATGTAAGATCAGGGTAAGTTCTCTGAATGCTTAGATCTTAACAGATGTGTTCTTTTTCTCCATATGTTATAACAAAATAAGGATTTGCTCTGGAAGTATTGACACAAACACTAACCAGTCTTGGCAAACACAAAACTGTATTCCTTTCACAGTATCAGCTGTGGATATTAATTAACTTTAAATAAACATGTGCATTAAATAGCTGTAAAGCACATATATGTATAAACAAAATCAGTTTTTGTCAGAAAATAATWTTTTTTTTGCTTTTTTGTTTACTGATGCCTAGACAAAGGAATGCTGCATCTTCAAAACAACATCTGTCAAACCGATTTTCATCAGATTAAGTATATCCTCAGAGCAACCATCACAGCTTACAAAATACTGAAAATGTAGGTTGTGCTTTGCATAAAACACCAATAGAATTTAAAGCACTTGAAAGTRTTTTACAAATGTAGTAATGATAGCCTGTGCCTGTTCTCCATTTTTGTTTCTCTTTTCAGGAGGTTCTTGGAAAGCATAGTGATGTTGCAACACTGCAATCCCAGTAGATATCTCAGARTGCAATTATGGAGTTATGGTCCTGGCAGCTAATCTGGGTCCACAAAAACCAATGGTTTGGAGTCTGGCAGTAGAGATTGAATTTATCATSACAAAATTCATCTGTGGAAAGATTTCTCTCATTAGGAATGAAATTAAAGTCTGAATCAGTGACTGATTATCCAGGTCTTTCTCTGATCTGTTGAATATCTTCATTAGTATAGATGTGTGATTACATATGCTCTGGCCTGATTCTGGTTCTATAGATCATCAAAGATAATGAATAATATTAAATATTAATTATTTTTTTTTTTCTGAAACAATGTAATCTGCTAAAAATGTGAGGATAACCATTAGCTTTGACATAGAACATAAATACCAACACACTCAATCATTGSCATTTCTGGCCAGCTTTCTGTCTTTTTCCCTGCTGCAGGATAATTAATGCATGGAAATGAGCTTCCTATTAGGCTGGTGYTTCTTCCACAGGAGTGAAGTATTTTGCCTGTGTAATGAGTTAGGCAGAGAGGTGAAGCCTCATTACAGTGCACACCCACAGCCGATCATGGAAACTCGGGGCAACCAGAAACAGATGCCGGGATTTCTGTAAGATCTTTATGGATGGAAGGTAGAGCCACTTGAGCTGGAAGCCAGGGCAGCATTCCCATTAGTTCTTCCRTTTAAAAGCTGGAAATCTAGCATAAAGGAGAAACTGTCCAGTGAAAAATCCATGGAGAGAACAAACAAGGGGAAAAGTGRAGGAGAAAATTGTTCCAGCTGCGTCTGGGAGTGGATACATTTTTGCAGCTCTGATTTCCTGTTAGGTTGTTCCCTGTGTGCCAGCACTGTCCACATGAATGTGCCACATGTGCCACATGAACCCCAGGTGAGGTGTTTTGGTACCTACCCCACACATATGGGAGAGCCCTGAGCAGTGCCCTGTTTCCAAGGCAGTGCCGCTGCAGGCGGTCACACAGCCGATTGCACACAAACAAGGCTGAATATGTTGTGTCGTGATAGAGTTCATGATAAATGCTTTGTGTAGTTTATATAAAAGAATATAGTTTTTACCAGGGAAATGATGTTGCTGATATTTGTCTTCTTTTTTTTTTTAAAGATGTGCTAGCTGCTTCTGCGGTACTACCTGAAACATAAACCTCTGAGTGGATTTTAGCTTAACTGAAACAGGCAATGATCTTTGCAGGATCTTCAGCCTAGTTCCTGAGATATCAGAATATGCAACTAAGATAAAACAAGTTCATAAATCTGCCAAAAAATTTAACTCTATCCAGCTCTACCATGTATTTGGGCAACATAACACTTGCAAGTTTGGGTCCTTTGAATTTTAATAGTATGAYATTGCAACAGGAGACTGAGGTTGCTGTGAAGATTTTTGTAATCTGCAGTAGTAAAAATGGTGTTTGAAATGACCATTATGCCAAAGATGCCTTCTGGTTGTCATTTTTGGCCAAAGCCRTGGAACATTGCCCTTGTTTTTAAAMAAGTAAAGTATGAACCACAAGCAGGTAATACAGTGTGGTAGTCAGTGAACAAGTCGTGGCACATTCAGCAAATGCAGGCTCTGTTGGGRAAATGTTGATTTGAATTTCATGCATCATCCAAGCATAATGAACATTGAAAGGTCATGTTAAGAATATTTTAAAAAATCCATCTGTTTTGACTTTTTCACTATCCAATATTGTTAATAACACAGTCAAGAAAAAAACAGGTTCTCTGAGTATGACTAAAGCCATATTCCATGTATAGTTGAAGAATAACTTGCCACACTTTTTTTTTCCATTTACTGTTCATTTCCTTTATAATGTCATTGTGTTAGTTTGTGAATTGTACCTTGAGCCATTGCAGTACTTTTTTTTCTCAATCAGAGTTATTTCTGAGTTTGTTACTCAGCATCCAGTAAGTCTCATGCAGACTGTAACATACTTATTGGCTCAGAATAATTAGGAYTAAATGAAAGTGTTTTGCTGTTGATCTTTGCTTGTTATTAGTTTGTACTGAGAGAACATTTGTTTGGAAAGGTCTAATACCATTATCAAAATATTATTTCTCATTGCAGGAAATATCATGGTTACTCTTTAATCTTTTATTCTAGAGCAGAACTCCTTTCCCTTCTCCATTTTTCTAATCTCATCTTTCTGACTTTTAAAAAATTTCTAGGAGGGATTCTGAGCCTTGTCAAATAACCAGGCTGTTCAGAGACTGAGTACCAATCCCATGACTTAAACAGGGCTCAGGCAATATTTATGAGTTCATGATATCAAGTCTAATACTGTGCTGCTTGTTATCTTAACTTCACACAACGTCATGTTAATAAATTTTTACGAGCTATGTAGTTGTAAAGTGCATCATAGTAATCACTATCATTCCTCTAATAAGTAATTTGATTTGTGTTGTTCCAACCTCGTGAGCTGTAACATCACAGGGTAGAGCCCTTCTCATAGTCCAGATTAATGAACCGCCTGCTCAGAGTCCCCACTTACAGATGTTCTCAGAGGGAGGGATGCTCTCACCTCCCCTCTCTGCTTCCCTTTGCAGTGCCTCAGGTTACATCATTTTCTTACAGGAGAATTACCTCTGTTGTGGAGATTTTCTGGAGCTTCTTCAGACTCCATGCAGATGTATGATTTTACTCGCCATGGAGGCCACTGAGGTTGCTGAGTGTCTGTAATTCAGACACGGCAATGCCAGCAGGGCAAGCAGTTGGATGTGACTGCACTGTGGCCTCCAGGTGGAATTGGTCAGTTCAGGAGATCAGTGGCTCAGGGAAACCATGGCTCGTGCTGACCAAACTTCAGAGACCTCTGGCTGTGGAGAGTCTCTTCCTATTGGTGKGGGTGGAGGGTCTGCAAATGAAAAACTAGGACACGCTGTGCTTTATGTTTTTTAATACTTCTTTTATTACAGACATGATTCTTTTTCTTGTAACAGAATAGGTAACTATCTGCTTGAAAATCTGTGATTTAAACTACTGAGTGTTGCTCTTTCTGAGACTCAAAATCCTAATTCATTTGATTGACAGATGTAAACTTGAAATTTGTGTTATTYTCTAACACGGCAGTGACTTTAGTCCAGCTACAGTTTTCATTGTGCAATACAAATACACTAAGCCTAAAGTACTACTGGCAGCTTATGTATAAAATGTGAGGATTAAGAAACCAATGCAAACAAAGACTCAGCTTTAAGAAGARGCAGTATTGTTGGACTAGCCTCTTACTGCTGTCACAATCAATGTGAAGTAATAGCAGCCAAAACCTGTAGTTCTGGTTTTGGCTGCAGTAAGTACTACTAAGGCAATAGTCAATTGAAGAGAAATTTTGTCTTGTCTATTTGAAACATTATTCACTTGCCAAAAATGCCACCTTTTTTTTTTTTCTATTGTGTGTGATGTCCTTTTCATTTTTACCYTCTAAATAACTGGTACAAATAATCCCTCTTATTTTTTTCAGCCCACCTAAACCAGCGGTGTTCATCTCCGGTGTCATTGCTAGGGTAAGATTATCAGTAAATTTTTCTCATTCATAACAAAATTACTGAAGTCTTTTCAGAATTATCGTCAATCAGAGCAAAATTAATCTTTTTCATACCCCTTTCTCTTTTATGAGAAGAGGCTTTATGTTTTCTATATTCGTGTAAGGCCCTTTGAGCATTCTTTCTGGGTTTGTGTGAAATTGAAATTATTCATTGAAATTATTTCCACCGTTTTTCTTTGAATTTTAGCACTTTAAGTTTATTGGATCATCTTTTTATATCTAAGCTAGATATTACTGCATTCATTTCCTTTGGAAGCAGCTGCATATTAAAGCGCTGCTAGAGCTTGATCAGTAATGAGGAGCAACACCCCTGTAAGGTTACATGCTTGAAGATAGTGTTTCAGCTGCCATAAGTGCCTTAATGTACTTAGGATTCAAGGTGGTTTTCCCTGGATTTTAAGAGCAGGCAGGACCTGTAAATCCGTAAGCGGAATCCTTAGTATTAACCAGCCATTAATCACATGATGAGAAATTTGTGCCTTGTTTGTTGTGACAGGGGTTTTATGATGGCTTTATGTGAAGGTAACCTTACATCACTGGGATTTGTGATGTGGTTTACTCTAAGATGCTGTGGTTGTGTCAGATCCCATAGATGGAAAATGTGAGCTGATGCCATTCAACCTACCCTGTAAAGAATTGGCAACTGGCAGCATCAGGGGACAGAAGGTAGAAAATGTCAGGTCTGAGKTGGGGAGATCTTTGAAAATTGGARGCAACTTGKAGTAGGGCAARAAATGTGAAATCTAACAAGTTRACATAGTGATTTWWAAAAAAAAAAMCAAGACAAAATTGTGTAAGATTGTTTCCCTGTGAGCCAATAGAATGCTGGAGTTTCTGGTTTATGATACATTTGTCCAATTTTCTGAAGGGGGAAGTTGTGCTGCTATTGTCACTGAGCACTGATAGTATTTGTTTCCTGTTGCTTTTTGAAAGCTTCATGGGACCAAGCCTAGAAATGTCAGTGGTAAATAGGTGACATGAGGGTTACACCTGAACTGAGACTGCCCAACAGCAGCACCTGAATGCCAACACTAGCAGAGCTGCTTAAAACCGCGTGATAAACTTAAAAGCCAGCCACCCCTACGATGTGAGTCATCAGTACTTTTAGATCCCACTTTCTTCCTAAGGAACTGGCATTGTTCCTAAAGAACTGGARAAGAGAAGGCTTTGGGGTGACCTGACTKCAGCCCTGCAGTGCCTGAAGGGAGCCTACAAGAAAGATGGAGTGTCTAATTGCACAAACATGTAATGACRGGACAAGGGGGAGTGGATTCAAACTGAAAGACAGCAAGTTTAGATTAGATGTTAAGAAGATATTTACTGTGGGGGTGGTGAGGCACTAGAACASGTTGCCCAAAGAARTTGTGGATGYCCCATCCCTGCAATTGTTCACAGCCARTTTGGATGGGGTCCTGAGCAGCATGGTCCAGTGGAAGACATCCCTTCCCATGGCACTGCAGTTGGAAYTGAATAATCTCAAAGGTCCCTTCCAACMCAGGCCATTCTGTGATTCTGATTCCTACAGCTGGCTTTTTGTGCAGGAAGTTTTTCATGCTGCCTTATTTTTAAAATAGTCTCTTCTTTCTAGTGGCTTTTTRAAAATCAAACACATCTGAAGATAGCAATATTTGGGGTTCTTTCTCTAGGGTGTCATTAAGTTACTATATTATTGGATAGTGTGTTTAACTGGAACTGAAGCTCATSTAAGAAAAGTTTAGAAGTTGGCTAAAAGAATAGAAAGATAGAATGTGTACAGGGAGACTCCAAAGTAACATGCAACACTGTTTTCCATCTGATTTTAACATGTTTTAGAACTTGGATCAATTTGAAGTGGAAAGTGCATTTTTAAGATTCCTTAAACATTTCCTGCTGTATTCTTCCAACAGGGTGATAAGGACTTCCCTCCAGCTGCRGCTCAGGTGGCTCACCAGAAACCACATCCTTCTGTGGAGAAGCTTCCTCACCCTCCACACGTCAAACAGCAGATCCACCAGCCTCGCAAATGAGCTCCTATCAGGATCTCTGCTGAACTGCTGTCAGTGAATGAGTTGCCAAGAGAAGACAAAAACCCTTTGGGATTCATGCTGTCAAATCAGTAAAATTGACCTCTAAAATAATATGCTGTTTCTTTTACTTTAATTCTTAAGGGTTAATAAGATTGAAGACATTGTTCAGTTGATATCCTGGATGGAAAATTCCGTATTAAGTATTTGCTGATCAGGGGTGCTTTTTTATGAGATTTTCTTATTGCCAAGATAAAAACTTGAATATTAATAATATGATTAAAGAGGTTAMAATTTGTACTTTTACTTGTGGGCTCACAATAGCAGATAGTTAATGTAGATTTTGTGCTAAGCCAGTAAGGAAGAACAGCCCTTTTGTAGTGGTACTTTTACTGTCTGGAGGGAGTTTGTTGTGTGTATCGAGACAGAAATCAGCGCTTGTCTTGATTACATAGAACCCTTGCAGCCTTCAGTACCCTACGGTGTTACACCCCAGTGCCCTCTGGGTTCAACCAGGGAGATGATAAAAGGGCCCTCATACATTCTCCAGTGGGCAGAGATCCAGCTGAATCTTCTTTACACTCTTTTGCACTCACAGTCTTGCTGAGATTTTTCTCTCTGGCGGTCTGTGAGTATGAAGAGCAGAGAGAGAAATCAGAATTACGAGAGCACTGCTGCTGTAGACAGCTCATTTGTGATCTCATGGGTCTCACTGGGGGCTGTATTTTTGAGRTGATGGTTTCCAATTCCAGTAACAAGCTGAAGGAGTTCATGACCCTCCATCCTGAACTTAAAATAGGTTGGTGAAAAATCTGTTTACTTTTTTTAATTTAGAATTTGAGATCACTATTTGAAATTAAGAGATACCATGGATAAATACATTTAGGATCCAACCTCTGTTGCTCATCATATTTTTTCCTAGTCTTCTTATTTTGAAGAACAGTAGTGATATGAGGGAGTAAAAAGAAACTTATTTTTCAAATAGAGCAATTGTTTTTAGTTTTAACCACATAATTAAATTGTTTGRTTGCTCAGTTCAGTATCACTTAGCTCTATTATTTTCCTTCTGTAACTCATCTTTGTAAAAACCAGGAGAAAAGTTTTATACATTCTACCTACCTTTTTAAAGTGTCTTTCTGTTTTTAACTGACTACAAATACAATACAGCCTTTAGTACCCTCTAGGTTTATGAAGTTTCTAATGATTTCAAAGAGTTARTGCTACAACCATTCATCTGGCAAATCAGTAAAATTTTAGGGTTACTCGGGTCTTTACCAGTTTGTTTATGTTTTAAAAAAATAGTGAGGRAAGTTTAAAAACTATTATTTTAAAGAAATTCTGCAGATTAAATAATTATTTCCTGAGTAGCTGATTTAAAACAACAGCAACAAAATAATGAGAAGTATGGTCCATTTCACARATGGAATAACTCACTTCATATGGTGTGAGGGACCTGACATTTCCATCTCTTTATAGGCTTGAAATGGAAATGATGTTTTGCAAATTATATGCATGGATATATTTATTCTAAACCCAAGGAAGGAGCAGATCATCGCAGTCAGTTCTGGTACTGAGGGGGAGCTGGGTGGGATTCAGCTCTGCCTTTTGCTGTGCCTACCTCTGGAGCAGTGTCTAGACCCCGGTGTAGTCAGTGGTGGTGCAGTCAGGACAGTCAGTAGAGTTTAGGTATGGCATTGTTGACCCAAGGGAAATGTCTCTCAGGAGGAGCTGAATCAYTCTTGGCTGCCTTGACTGCAGTGAAAAACTAAACCTCAGTGTGGAGGCACACGGTTAGGTGGGGCTGGGTACCTCTGCTCCATGTCTTGGAATAACTGATAGAAATGCTTTTGAAAGCCACACTACATGTCCATTCCGACAGTAAAAGTTTGGAGCATGGATGCTTTCGAATTACAAATTACTCCTCCTGGTTGTTAATGCAATATATACAGCATATACAGACAATACCTGATTTTTGGTTTTGATTATTTAGATAGATATGGTACGTTTGTACAATGGAATATGACTCCTAAGATAGCTTTAGTGGCTTTTAGAGTGCAGAAATTCATATATGATTAGAAAATGTCTCTGTATGAAAGCATATTATATGTTGTTGGGAGGTATCCATGTTTATTCATAGGTATCCTTACCAAAGCATTACCTTATCCAAAAGAATCATAACTGGTGAACTGGATTTCTAACTGATGGTTATTGATACTTCTAAAATATGTTAAATAACATATAAGCACAGGAGATGTTCAGATGTTACCTTGAAATGAGTGCAAAAGAAATTTTCTGTAATTGGCAATGTGGTAATAATGCAACAATAAAGCATGAAGTTGTATATTGGACTCKTTTTTTCTGTAAGTGCAATGTAAATCTGCAGGGTGCAGCTTTGTGGGATTTATGGGATTTTATTACAGACTGCTGCATGACTAATCAAAATTTTATAGATAGTGAAATTTATTATGAAGTTTTATGACACAGYGGATGAGCTATTTTGAATAGTCTAGTCTCATGTAACGTAAAAAGTGGATGCTACCAGCTAGAATGGGAGTTGCTSTTTTCCATTATGAAATTGGAAATGCTCACTCAGCCCCTGCGCAGCTATAGAATCTAACCCTGGTAATAAACCAGGATGGTAAAGGAAATTAAATGTAACATTCTCCATTGCTTTTCAAGTTCTWGGCTTTCAGAAAAAGCAAGTGTTGTAATCAGAAGAGGTGTCATGCTTTTCATAAAGCTGCAGTTAATATTACACAATGCATGCCTTAATGTAAGTGAATTGCTGAAGAATATGGAGAAACTGCCACAGTATTTCTGGGAGGTTTCTGATATTTTGGGCATCCTGTGTGTAGCGTATGTGTAGTGTGTATATAATACAGTATATATTGTATTATATAATACAATACAGTGCAGAGATSAGAGTTACTGCCCTGGGACATTTGCAACATTACATCCTTAGACTCTGTGCTCACGTATTCGTAGAATTGTTAAGATTGCGAAAGACCCTTAAAGTCATCAAGTCCAAGCATTAACCCAGCACTGCCAAGTCCATCACTAAACCATGTTCCTAAGAGCCACATCCAAACATCTTTTAAATACCTCCAGAGGTGGTGAATCAATCACTTCCCTGGGCAGCCTGAAGAAATTTTTCCTTATACCTAATCCAAACCTCCCCTGGCACAACTTGAGGCCATTTCCTTTTATSCTGTCACTTGTTAGGAGAAGAGACCAACCCCCACCTTGCTACCACCTTCTTACAAATAGTTAGTCGTAAAGAGCAAGAAGGTCTCCCCTGAGCCTCCTTTTCATGCTGCATTATTTAAAAGATATCTTCTTTGATTAAAATTGGAAAAATACATGTGCATGATGTCTGGCATGCTGTTGATGGAGTTGTTAACTGTTACTCCAAATTCCATGGTTTTGTTATCAGCAGTACTACAAATGWTATTAGTAATTAGAAATTATTTACTTTTAATGCCAACGGTATGATCTACCTTTTTGTCACCAGATGCTTTGAAAGAGAAGTCTTGTGCTTTTTTCCMCAGTAGTGTGATCATCACATGCTGTTTCATGAAAATACTCACAGCAGTCTTCCATACAAAGGTRAAGGGAATGAATGGACATAGGTTTTAATCCCTTTGGAATAACTTTATTCTGAATACTCTTCATCTTCATGGAGTAGGAAGGTGTGGGCTTTATAAGGCACTTCTTGWGTCCCCTTCAGATTTGGGTATATTAAGTTTAAAATGAGATTTAAGTCTAAGTTTATGCCTTAAGCTGTTGGATTAATACACATAATTGCATTTTAGAAAATGTGGGGATGTTAGTGTGGGCACAGTTAATTTTACAGTGGGGGACACGTTGCTGGTCAGAGGCTGTGATGCAGTGATGTAAAGAATTAAATCTCTGTTTTAATTTAAATTCTTTGCACACAAACCTCTCACAGGAATAGAGCCAATTAAATATAACTAGTTACAGCTAGCATTATGTGCTCTGTAAGGWTGCAGAGGGATGCAGATCATAGTGACTGGCTGACTCCTCAAGAAGAAACTGAGTCATGTCTACTGAAACTGAGTCCAATCATTGGATTTCTTCAGCACATGGGTAAAGTAAATCTGCATTGTAGCTGTAACCTTTGGTAAGTGCTGTGCATKGCTGTATTATATAAAATTAGTGAAGCTAATTTCTTAGGCAGGTGGAGGTTTGTATTTTGCTTGTCGCTGTGTTCTTGGAACTCCTTTAGGAACATGCATGTATTGATTTTCTTCATCCCCCATCAGAGAAAAGACTGCATCTGGAGTATACCATTTTTTTTAATCCTTTTGTAAAATGGAAGCGCTAGCATYTAGATATAAGACCTGAGAGGAGAGGTGGAGTGCATTGTATTCAACAAAGCACTCCATGAACAAACAAGTAATTTCTGTTGCAATGACTGTTTCCCTTAAGAATGCTGATCAGAGGTGAGAAAAGAATATGATACCTCTTTCTGAGAATGTAATTGGTTACTATTTGGAGCTGACAGGCATGCATGGTTCCTGATGACACAGAATGCTGTCAATGACAAAACTGAAATGCAGGATACTAAAACCATGACAAGCACAGATCTTGCAACTGACCTTGAAAGAAACCCTGTAACATAATCTGTGCTGTCCAGCTTACATTGGAGGTATTTTTAGAAAATGTGAGTGTCTGGTCACTCGTAGCTTTAGAAAAAGAAAAGCATTAGTAATCCACAGTGTGTTTAAGGATTATAACAGTTGGCTAGCTGTTTAAGACACTGGAGCTCGCATCAGTGTCAGTAAGGACATGTCATGTTACCTTGGGTATATTCTCACATTGTYCTGACTAAAGCTGGTTCAGCAAAATGGTTTTTATTCTCCTTTCTGGCAGAGAAGCAGCAGGAGGTTGCTCAAGTGTGTAAAATGAATTCTTAGAAGCCGTGTGTGGTAGCTGTCTCAGGTGTCAATGGATGTTTAATGCCACGTTAAGATGGATGGTGACATCACCTTGTTACACGTGGTGGAGCGAGTGAACTGGAGAGCACAGCAATGAGATCACARTTCCCAGATCCCAGAATATTCTGAGCTGGAAGTGACTCCCCAGGATCCAGGGAGTCCAACTCTTCAGTGCACGGCCCACATGGGGGTTGGACCCGCAACCCTGGGGTGATTGATGCTCTGGCCAGCTGAGTTAATCTCAGGATCATGATGGAACCCACTTGGCTTCACTCTTAAACGAGCAGTGGCTCTTGAAATACAGAACAGTAAATTTAGTTAAAATGAAAAGCAAAACTTAGCCACTAATTTCTGCATGCTGATAGTGGCTGAAATGACAAATATCTTGTCATGTTTCAGATGTGACTGAAACCACATGTTCAATGCTTTTCTCAGTAAAATTGCACCAGTGCCAGTGTTTGGGTCTGAAGCAAGAGAGGCATCACCTTTTTCCTGGTTTTGGRCTTACTTGTGAACCTAATGCATTTAACTGAAAACTTTGCTTGGTATTTAAAAAAGAAAGAAAAAGCACCTTATTTCTAAAGTCATGTACACTTCATCTTAAGCTTTATTTAATTTTTCAAGTGATATTACTGAAAAAGATAAAGGTCTTCTGGCTTTGTTTCTTGAAGACCAGCAGACTGGGGCACATGCCAGTGGAACGTTGCACACTTAATTTTACATTCTGGTGGATTTACATTGGCAGTGAACAGGAGCTGTGATTGGAGAAGTAAAGCCTTAAACATTCAAAGTAGAGTAGTAAAAGGAACACAGAAGTGGATTCAGTTGTGCTCTGTAAGACTGTTGTCAGATGATAAGGGGAAAGAAACAGAGCTGTCATATTGTTTCAGAATTGTATACTGGYCATTTCTTATGCTGCTTAGTGACCTCAATTTTCACTGTCTAATTACATACTGAGAGGTCAGTTCTTTGATTTGTAAATTGACATGYCCTTGAATATTTTTGGCATGGAAGAGGCCTTTGGATGAGGGAAATCTGCAAATGCAAATACATTTTAATAAATTTCTGGTTCTTCTAACCTACAAGGTTAATCATCAAGAAATATAATCTCTCTTCACTGCAAAAGGCAGCACGTATGTGCATATAGAATGTAGAACTAAGACATATTCTAGTTGAACTAATTAGTATTTGCATGTCTCTTTGTCTGTATCTGTGTGTGTGTGTGTGTGTGTGTGTGTGTGTGTGTGTGTGTGTGTATTCCTACCATGAGAGAGACCAGTCAATTTTAAAAACTAGGTTGTAAGATTTTATTCATCCCAGAGATGTTAAGCAACAGGAGATGAGATTCTTGGGCACATGCACTTTGGGTGAACACCTTTTAACATCCTTTTTGCAGGTAGCTTTTCGCTGTGTTACATCTAAATTGCTAATAAAAAAATACCTACATCAGAAGCTAATTCCTTACCTAATTCCTTCCCTCTGGACAAGAGATAATGAATAGCAAAAGCAAGAATTCTCCTTTTAGGGCCTGATTTATTACCCAGAAAATAATAAACATTAGCCTGCTGCTGATGTAACAGT